ACTTCCAGTTTCTCACCATCTTAGAATTACTGATCTTCTATTGGTGTAAATTAGTGTCTGCTTTCCATAGTCACAAGTGGTATTTCACTCATTTATAATGACATCAGCTGAAGTGCATGCAGGAAAAAATGTTTTCTACAGATATCCCTATTGCTTTATACTGTACCTTATTGGATTTGAGTCAAGTGTTAATGCACCTGAACTCCTGCTACCTACCTATCAAAAGCTAGTGCAGCATCTGCCACACAGGTGTTACATGGCAGCATATGGGCTACTGTATTCTGTATCAATTGCAGTTTTTAAATAGCCTTCAAAGGCAGCCCTGTGTAAAGTGCTTTGTAGTAGTTCAATCTAGTGGTGCTGAGGGATGGGTTACCATTGCCTGGACTTCCTGCTCCAGTTAGGGCTGCAGCTGGGCAAAGGCTTCCCTGTCCACCTGCAAATTTAGCAATAACTGGGAATCCAAAAGTCCCTAGTCATGGATCAGCACCTTTGGGGAAGCCCCTATAACTAATTGGGGTAGGCTCGATGTTGTCATGGCTGCTAGAAATTCCTATTATGGTTTCTCAGAAGAAACAAGCCACAAAATAGATCTTGAGGTTACCTAACACTACGAACCTGGGACTCCCAGCACTAGCTCAGTCACAGATTTCATTAAGTAGTGGATATACCAATAGAATCCCCCATCTATCCCTGATCCCAAAACTGAAGTACACACATGCAGTATAAACCCACTGTCTCACAGATACTTTGGTAAAAGCTGCTGTTCTTATAGATCATAGTAACACAACTTTCTCTGCTTTACTATCAATTGGAAAAAGCTAAATCCATGCTGACCCATCTGTTTCCGTCAGTTATACCTCTGTTACACAGACCCAGTTGGCTTCCTTATCTCTTAATTATTTTGAGCTCATCTACTATTACAAAAGATCAAGACTTTACTGGGCTCAAAGCCTGATAAGATGAAAAGGCTGCTACGAGGGGGGATAGCACTTCCTTTTTTAATCTCTTTTCCCCTATAACAGACTGCTAACTTGTCAACACCAAGTATGCTATTCCTCATCACTACTGTAATTGCTGCTCTGGATTCAGCAAATACAGACTCTTCCCCATCCCCCCATGGTGAAGAGGTGAACGAACAGTCCTGATGGATATTTAACGGGCAAACCGAGTACTGATACCTTTTTAAAAACAAATAGGGAATCTTTCAACTCAGAATCATATCAGGGGTGCCATCAGGAAAATCCAGTACATTGAACCCACCAAAGAGATTGGGTATGTCCCCTAAAGTAACAACCAAACTTATACCATCACTCCCAGTAAGTTCCATTTCTCACCAGTAGAGCTGGTTGGGCTTAATCAGCCATTCCTCAGCTGCTCTTTGTTGCCCAGAAACAGCTCCAGTCCTTTTTGTACTTTCATACAAATACCCACACCACCCCAGTAGGATTATGGCCCTCACTTTCATGTTACTCCAAAGTGGAATATCCCAAAGGGACAGCTTCCTTTGTTGTCTTCTTCAGAATTGCCACCCATGCTAACCAGCTTTAAATGCAGCTCTCCCAAAGAGATTCAACCGGTAGCTGGTTGCCTGATTCTTCCAGAGCAGGTCCTCTCTTAGTTCACAGCTGACAAGCGATGAGGTCTCCTCCTTCTTGCAAGGCAGATTGCTGACCAAGCAGTGCGGAAGTACAAGGCTTGGATCATAAGTTTCCAAGAAATTTGTCTCA